GAAAGGGGACGTGTCTCAAATAAGTTAGGGAACCTGTCCTAGCAGATTTGACCCCTGAGCGAGCGTCAAAAAAGCGACATTAGGTACGGACTACGTCGAGTGACATGACACCATGTCAGTGGCTACACTTCTTTAGCAAATGCACTCTGTAAAGGTTGCTACATACACAAACGAGCCACCATCAAAATGTACTGTACATTAATGTTCGGGAACAAGCACTGCCAATCCGCTTGTATGTAACGGCCGTAATAAAGAGGCGCGTGCGCTCCGTTGCGCGGCCGACACGCAGGAGGCGCCGCAGCGCTTCGCGGCCGAGGTGGCGGCGGCCGCGCTGCGGGCCCCGCGCTACTGGGCTCGCGAGAGCGCGCAGGCTCTGAACCAGGCGGTCGTTGAGATTATTACCACTGGTGAGTAGAAAAAAAAATTTGGTCGTATGTAATCTGGCTTGCATTGCTTAGGGCAACGTTGAGCGAGAAACCCAGTATTTAGAGGTAAGTTGCAATTTCATTGTTACGGACTGCGTTGAGTGACATTACACCATGACAGGTTACTCTTCTTTAGCAAATGCACTCTGTAAAGCCCCCCAGGGGAGGCGCAAAGACTTTTAAAGGGGGGCGTGGGCCATCTGTGTACTTAAGTGTAAAAACCTGCGACCGCTGAGAGAATGCATTCCAGACTGCTCGATACGACCAATAAATAATCTTGATTGGAGAAATTTTTTGTATGGTTGAAACGGGGAGCGTCTCAAATAAGTTAGAGAACTCTGCTAGCACATTTGACGCCTGAGCGAGCGTCAAAAAAGTGACATTAGGTACGGACCACCATGACAGTTCTTTAATAAATACACTCTGTGAAGGTTACTACAAACATAAACGGGCCTAATCGGCATAACCGGGCGTCAAAATGTACTGTACACGAATGTTCGGGAACAAGCACTGCCAATCCGCTTGTGTGTGTAACGACCGTATTAAAGAGGCGCGTGCGCTCCGTTGCGCGGCCGACACGCAGGAGGCGCCGCAGCGCTTCGCGGCCGAGGTGGCGGCGGCCGCGCTGCGGGCCCCGCGCTACTGGGCTCGCGAGAGCGCGCAGGCTCTGAACCAGGCGGTCGTTGAGATTATTACCACTGGTGAGTAGAAAAAAAGTGTTTTAATTTGGTCGTACCTATGTAATCTGGCCTGCTTTGCTTAGGGCAACGTTGAGCGAGAAACCCAGTATTTTGAGGTAAGTTGCAATTTCATTATTACCTTCAAGCACTAGCATTGGTTCCCTAAGTGGGGGGCGCGCCCCCCAAGGGAGGCGCAAACACCTTTATAGGGGGGCGCGGGCCATCTGTGTACTTAAGTATAAAAAACCTGCGACCGCTGAGCACATTTGACGCCTGAGCGAGCGTCAAAAAAGCGACATTATGAGCGGACTACGTTGAGTGATATGACACCATGACAGTGGTTACACTTCTTTAGAAAATGCGCTCTGTAAAGGTTGCCACATACATAAACGAGCCGCCATCAAAATGTACTGTACATGAATGTTCAGAAACAAGCACTGCCAATCCGCTTGTATGTAACGGCCATAATAAAGAGGCGCGTGCGCTCCGTTGCGCGGCCGACACGCAGAAGGCGCCGCAGCGCTTCGCGGCCGAGGTGGCGGCGGCCGCGCTGCGGGCCCCGCGCTACTGGGCTCGCGAGAGCGCGCAGGCTCTGAACCAGGCCGTCGTCGAGATTATTACCACTGGTGAGTAGAAAAAAATAATAATTTGGCCTGCCTTACTTAGGGCAACGTTGAGCGAGAAACCCAGTATTTTGAGGTAAGTTGCTAATTCATTATTACCTTCAAGCGCTAGCACATTTGACGCCTGAGCGAGCGTCAAAAAAGCGACATTAGGTAGACGTTCAAAAAGCGACTACGTTGAGTGACATGACAGCATGACAGGGGTCACTCTACTTTAGCATAATATGCACTCTGTAAGGGTCGTTACATACAAAGACGGGCCTGCATTAATCTGCACAGCTGGGTGTCAAAGTCTAATAAACTCGTATGTACACACGGCCACAGTGTTAACTATCCATTTCCGTTTTTGCTCTCGCTCACATCAAATGATGATTCTTTGCGATAGAACGAGACGACATGACCGGCAATGGGCAGTTAACACTGTTGCCGATAGTACATGATTGTTCGGGAACAAGCACTGCCAATCCGCTTGTATGTAACGGCCATAATAAAGATGCGCGTGCGATCCGTTGCGCGGCCGACACGCAGGAGGCGCCGCAGCGCTTCGCGGCCGAGGTGGCGGCGGCCGCGCTGCGGGCCCCGCGCTACTGGGCTCGCGAGAGCGCGCAGGCTCTGAACCAGGCCGTCGTTGAGATTATTACCACTGGTGAGTAGAAAAAAATAATAATCTGGCCTGCCTTACTTAGGGCAACGTTGAGCGAGAAACCCAGTATTTTGAGGTAAGTTGCAATTTCATTATTACCTTCAAGCGCTAGCATTAGTTCCCAAACTGGGGGCGCGCCCCCAAAGGAGGCGCAAAGACCTTTTAAGGGGGCGCGGGCTATGTGTACTTAAGTATAAAAAACCTGCGACCGCTAAGAGAATGCAGTAAAGACTGCTCGATACGACCAATAAATAATCGTGACTGGAGGAGGGGGGACGCGGATTTTTTTGTATGGTCGAAAGGGGGCGCCTCTCAAATAAGTTAGGGAACCTGTCCTAGCAGATTTGACGCCTGAGCGAGCGTCGAAAAAGGTATTAGGTACGGACTACGTCGAGTGACATGATACCATGACAGTGGCTACACTTCTTTAGCAAATGCACTCTGTAAAGGTTGCTACATACATAAACGAGCCGCCATCAAAATGTACTGTACATGAATGTTCGGGAACAAGCACTGCCTATCCGCTTGTATGTAACGGCCATAATAAAGATGCGCGTGCGCTCCGTTGCGCGGCCGACACGCAGGAGGCGCCGCAGCGCTTCGCGGCCGAGGTGGCGGCGGCCGCGCTGCGGGCCCCGCGCTACTGGGCTCGCGAGAGCGCGCAGGCTCTGAACCAGGCCGTCGTTGAGACTTTCGCCTGGCGTGCAACCAAATAACATGCCAACCCTAGGCCCTTATCATCTGAAAAAGGGTCTTATTAGCAGATGGGGGCCCCCTCGGTCGCGGGGCCCTGCGCACGTGCCCAAAGTGCCCAGTGGGACAGAGGGGCCTGAGTCATATGCCTATCATTTGTAACAAAATCTATCAGACAATCTAGTTTTGACAGCTCGGGACTATTCCCACTGTTGACGTCATTCAGTTTTATAAATTTACACAATGTGGTTAATCTTGATAGTGATTTTATTTCGCCTACTTCTCAAGATATTTTTTGGGACTTGAATATCCACCTCTCGGTTCCACCGCTGCAACTCCTGTGTAGCCAGCATCTACAGCTTGACCGCCAATAAAAACCCAACCAGTGATGGTCAAGTTTCAGCTCAAAAAAGTATTTGAATTGACTAGTAGTGTGGTGTCGAAGTCAGCTGTAACTACGTATTGAAGATTATAGAATAGAATAGAATAGAATAATTGTTTATTTGCATAAAACATGGTATATACAGTTGTTACAGCTATAAAATAAGTCCACATGTTTTGCTACATCAAGAAGCATGCAAGTTTGAATATTAATACATAAAAAAGAAACAATATCATTATAATTATATCAATTTTCATAACTGTTAACTTTTTACCTATCAATCCTGCAGGTAGTGGCTCCCGCGAAAGACCAAGTGTTCTCGTTCGATCTCACCCCCGAGGAGATGGAAGAAGGTGAACGGTACTTGTACGAGTTTTTCTCGGACGACGCGAATATCGACCGCCTCGTGGCGTTCCTTACCATTGAAGAAAAGAAGGGACGGGACAAGTTTAGCGGGATCCGATTCTCTATGTTCAGAGTAAGTATCGATTTGTTTTCTCAATTTATAAAAAAAAACTAGTAAATAAAAAGTTTTATGTGTCTTTGCCTATGGAAGAAAGAAAGAAAACACATTTATTTAGTACTAGCTTTCCGCCCGCGGCTTCGCCCGCGTGGAATTTTGTCTGTCACAGAAAAACTTTATCGCGCGCGTCCCTGTTTCAAAAACCGGGATAAAAACTATCCTATGTTCTTTCCCGGGACTCAAACTATCTCTATGCCAAATTTCATCAAAATCGGTTGCGAGGTTTAAGCGGGAAAGCGTAACAGACAGACAGACAGACAGACAGACAGACAGAGTTACTTTCGCATTTATAATATTAGTTGGGATCAGAAATAAAACCAATACAAACTTATTGTCAGTCACTACTGTCACTTTTAAACGAACATAGACAAGTAAATTTTTTTGTTGAACTAGGGCTAGAACTAAAACCTATATGAAATCCAATTGATTAATTTCATCCTCATAATATTGTCGTGGCATATTTTACTCAAAACTTGTTTTACCGAATATTTGGCTGCGCGTTTAGCCGTATTATCTAGTTGGGTCAGAGCGTAGTAAAATGTAGTCGGAAATTTTAATTTTACGAATTTTATCAAATCATTCACCATAATATCAATCATATCCGAGTTGTATAGAATTTACAGTTAGTCGTTATGGGAATCATTAGGGGAGGCCTTTGTCCAGCAATGGGCTTCATTTTTGTCAAACGAACGAACGAAAGAATGATTGTGACTTGTTCACAGATGATGTTCGCGCAATTCGGCTGGGATGTCACCAAGAAGTACGTGACGCACGCGCTCCGTTGCGCGGCCGACACGCAGGAGGCGCCGCAGCGCTTCGCGGCCGAGGTGGCGGCGGCCGCGCTGCGGGCCCCGCGCTACTGGGCTCGCGAGAGCGCGCAGGCTCTGAACCAGGCGGTCGTCGAGATTATTACCACTGGTGAGTAGAGCCTGGTCCATGAGCACGTAGAATTTTGTCCAATAACCCCAAGCTACCCATCCTTATCGCTCGCGCGTAATTATATTGCTGTCACGACTGTGCGACGCGCGCCCGCAGTGAATGAGCGAGTCGATTCGATAAATTGATAAGTATTTTATTTTGACTGTATGTACTCTGGCCTGCCTTACTTAAGGAAACGTTGAGCGAGAAACCCAGTATTTTGAGGTAAGTTGCAATTTCATTATTACCTGCAAGCGCTAGCATTAGTTCGCAAGGGAGGCGCAAGCCATTTGTGAACTTAGGTATAAAAAACCTGCGACCGCTGAGAGAATGCATTCCAGACTGCTCGATACGACCAATAAATAATCTTGACTGGAGGAGGGGGGGCGCGGAATTTTTTGTATGGTCGAAAGGGGACGTGTCTCAAATAAGTTAGGGAACCTGTCCTAGCACATTTGACGCCTGAGCGAGCGTCAAAAAAGCGACATTAGGTACGGACTACGTTGAGTGACATGACACCATGACAGTGTTTACACTTCTTTAGCAAATGCACACATGTAAAGGTTGCTACATACATAAACGGGCCTTTCCGAGGAGTGTAGGTCAAATCCTCTCTTTTGCCTCTGGTAAATTAAGAGAGGGTTCTCCTCGTCGTTGTGACTTAAATGATGAATAAATATTATGTATTTATTACAAAACCTTTTCAGATTTTTTACTCCTTATTAGTCTGCTAATCACGCGCCCTTGCACAAATATATCTTTAAAATGTTTTCCACAGGCCTCACAACAGTAATACCAGAGACAATGGAAGACTGGGGCACGGCGCTGGCCACGGGCGTAGAGAAGCTGGACCCGAACCGCAGCGCGGTCGTGCTGCGGGCTCTCATGGGCCTGTGCGCGCCGCCCGCGCACGAGAATGCGCAGCCCGACAGTGACGCATCCTTCCTCGTGTGCGCGCGCCTTTACGCGCTGCAGGTATAGAAATATGGCCTCTATTACTAGCACATTAAGGCATTGTTCAGTATGATAAGCCGACATCTGAGCGTTCATGGACCTATGCGCGCCGCCCGCGCACGAAAATGCGCAGCTCGACAGTGACGCATCCTTTCTCTTGTGCGCGCGCCTTTATGCGCTGCACTATAGTAAGTAGTACCAGGCCTGTTCATCTCCGCGAGTTTACATAGAAAACAAAACACGCACGATGGCCCACCTACAGGATACTATTCGACAAGGCCTCACATACGAGCGAACTCACGTACGCGTATTCTTGTGTATGATGGAAGAAAATAAAGAAAATGATGTACTAAATACTGTGCAGTATTTAACTGCCTAAATAATAATAAAAACACAGAATGTGCTTTTTTAAGATGCCTCAAGACACTGAGAGGTAAATAAGTAGTTAATATTATTCATAATAATTTATGCTATATCATGTATTTCATCCGCCATTTTCCGCAGTTTGGCACCTCACGTCACATCATTTTACCGAAGTCAGCCCTATAGCTTCGGCGCAGTGCCGATCACTGACGTTTTTCAACAAAATGGTGCTTGACTCTTGAGACAGGCAAAATTACACCATATTGTTAATGACATTGAGCATACATTTTTTTAAATACCTTCGCGAAGTAAAACTTCTGTACGTAGTACTTATTATTATTCTGTGCTATTACTAGCACATTTAGCCAGTGTTTTGCTTGATATGCTGACATCTGCGCGTTCATGGACCCACCCGACAGTGACGCATTATGCTTCCTACTAGTATGCGCGCGCCTTTACGCGCTGCAGGTACAGCATTATCGCCCCTATTGCAACTACTATAAGGCAGTGTTTAGATTGATATCCAAACACCTCCTACGACCTTCACCAGATCATCGGTCTACCTAGTGGGAGGCCACACCACGTCTTCCGGCCTGTGGTCGCCCTTCGAGAACTTTCCTGCCCCAGCGGCCATCACCTCATTTAATTCTGTTTTAGTCATACTCGCCAAACTTTTCTTAACCGCTTGAGTCCCAGACGGCATTCATTAATGTCATAACAATTGATTATCTATTGTGTCTAGATTCGCGGGCCTTGAAGGATTAAAAGGAATCAACTTTAACAATCATTGACCTTTTCATGTCATTCGCAGGGAGCGTTAGGATCTCTGTGCTGGCGAACCGCGCCGCTGTCAGCTGAACTACTCACAAAATTAGAAGCGGCTAACTTCACGCACCACCCGTACCAAAACGTGCGGGAGACTGTTGGAAGGTCAGTAGACGATACTTTTACACCCGTGTTCACAAACGATGCTTGCTTAAGTGAAGCAGTAAATTGAACGCCCAGCGTTGAATAGAACTCTGTGATTGGTTCGTGTGTGATCCTGTGCGTCCACCTCATAATAATGTTTGTGAATACGGGCGTTATTCTCAAAGCTATATCTATAGGGGTTCGCAACACATCTTTGTTCCACAAGTTTATGTTGCCAACTTTTTGATCACTTTGGGTGTCACAAACTATCTATTTGACACTGACTGTACCTAGCACGTCAGAAGTTCATCTAAAGTCTCATTGGCGTATGACGTAACACAAAAACACCCCCATCGTTCCGCTACCGCATCTAAAGTCCGGTCGCCGAGCACATAGAATTTCGTCTTTCGAATGAGGGTTTTCGCGAATGAAAGATCCGCTAGATGGCGGGACGTGGATGTGGGGTCTGACTGCTGCGTGATTGGTGGATTTTGACATATCTGTCAATGTCATGTCAAAAATAACCAATCATGCAGCATTTGGACTCGCGTCTACGTATTGCCATCTGGCGGATTTTTCATTCGCGAAAACCCTCATTGGACGAAATTCTATCTGCTCGTCGACCGGACTTTACTCGGTTTAGCGCTAACAATAGTATCAAAACCTAGTCCATTGCTTCTTGATTACTTATTAATCTGGCTATATCTTTCAGCACACTAATGACAATATTCGACAACGAGTTAGTGTTTCCTGGAGGGGAGTCTGGCCCTTCGCCGCGGCTGCAAGACTTCTTAGACACGGTGCCGCCACGGCTTACCGCGCTTTATGACGAGAACGGCGACATTGGTAAGATAATAATATAGCTTAAGTAAAGATTTTACGATGATCGACTTTAATGTGAAAGGAGTAGAGTAGAAAATATTATCCTTTAAATCCTTTTCTCAAACTGACTCTCTCTAGTAGCAAACTAAGAATGATACGACATTACATTACAAGTAGCAACTTATTTTGATGTGAAATTCACGCTAATATGTTTTGGTCATCTTAAAAAAAATTGAGAAACATGATCTTAAAATTATTGGTGCATTTGAAAGTTTTGTGTGTAAGGATAGCCAAAGTTTATCGGTACAAATTATTGATTACAACCTAAGCCTACTTGACTTAATGTCGTATGTCCCCTAGATAGGGCAGAGGGTGTTCACAACAGTCCTCCATAGTGTTCGGTCTTGAGCTTCGCGTTTGATCTCGCTCCAACTCTTGTCGATTTTCTTCGCCTTGTCTGCTACATTGCGCCGCCAAATCTGTTTTGGGCAACCTAAGCCTAGATAGGAACTTAATAGACTTGATTTCGTCGTTTCAGCCAAACGACGTTCACTGCTGGACAAAGCCTCCCCCAAGGTTTTCCACAATGAACGGTCCTGCGCTGCCCGCATCCAGGCTCTTCCCGCGACCTTTACCAGATCGTCGGTCCACCTAGTAGGAGGCCTGCCCACGCTACGTCTTCCAGCCTGTGCCAACGAGTCCCTGCGTGATCGAATCAGAAATGAGGAGATCCGCAGGAGAACCAATGTAACCGACATAGCTCGCAGAATTGCTAAAATCAAGTGGCAGTGGGCGGGGCACATTAAATAGCTCGTAGAGACGATGGCCGTTGGGGCAGGAAAGTTCTCGAGTGGCGACCACGGGCTGGAAGACGTAGCGTGGGCAGGCCTACTACTAGGTGGAAGACTTGATTTATGTCGCAATAACTACATAAACATTTTTCCCTCTAGTGGTAAAACTAACGGCGTCCATGGGTGCGGGCGAGAGCGTCCCGCGCGAGGTGCCCGCGGCCGTGCCCGCGCCCGAGCCCGCGCCGCTGCCCGCGCACGCGGCGCCGCTGGCCGTCCACGTGGCGCGCCTGTCGCCCGACCACCCCATCGCCGATGACGCGCCGCAGGTAACTGACTAAAGCCTGGTCCGTGAGCACGTAGAATCCCGTCCAATGACCCCAAGCTACCCATTCCTATCGCTCGCGCGTAATTATGTTGCTGTCGCGACTGTGCGACGGGCGCCCGCAGTGAGTGTGCGAGCGCGACAGCAACATAATTAGTCAAAACAGCGGGAGATCGTTGCATCACTTGGGGAGGCCACGCAATGATTTTCAACTGTTTTCACCCCACCTAGCTTTAAAGTGCGCCGGCGCCGCTAGACGTTGACGTAGCGCGCCTGTCGCCTGACAACCCTATTGCTTGCGGATAACGCGCCACAGGTAATTATCTAATACCAGTTTACAGCGACAGATAGTGTTGAAGTGTCTTCAATTGTTTTTACCCCACCAATGCGCCGGCGCCACCGTTTGACACGAATGACGTCAGCCTCCCACTGCCAGCTGTACACTTAGGTCATTGACCTGCCCGCGTAAGTGGCGCGCCTGTCGCCAGACAAGGACAACCCTATTGCTGATGACGCGCCGCAAGTAACTATGCTAGTTATAACAGCGGGAGATCATTGCCACGCAATGTTCTTCCACTATTTCACCTCACCAATGCCAGCTTTAAACTGCGCCGGCGCCGCTGGCTGTCGACGAGACAAGCCTATTGCGGATGAGAGCACACAAGCTTCCCCAAGTGATGCAACAAAACACGATCTCCTGCGCTCTTCATCGATTCACTGCCAGCTACCTTCTTATGTGGACGTCGGTCTATTAAGTAGCTAGAACACTACCACGTAGTCTATCAGGCTGTGTTTAAAGTCAACGGCGTCAATGGGTGCGGGCGAGAGCGTCCCGCGCGAGGTGCCCGCGGCCGTGCCCGCGCCCGAGCCCGCGCCGCTGCCCGCGCACGCGGCGCCGCTGGCCGTCCACGTGGCGCGCCTGTCGCCCGACCACCCCATCGCCGATGACGCGCCGCAGGTAACTGACTAAAGCCTGGTCCGTGAGCACGTAGAATCCCGTCCAATGACCCCAAGCTACCCATTCCTATCGCTCGCGCGTAATTATGTTGCTATCGCGACTGTGCGACGGGCGCCCGCAGTGAGTGTGCGAGCGCGACAGCAACATAATTAGTCAAAACAGCGGGAGATCGTTGTATCACTTGGGGAAGCCACACAACGATCTTCAATTGTTTTCACTCCACCAATGCTCTAGCTAAAGTACGCTGGCGGCGCCAGAGACGTTCGACACGAATAACGTCAGCCTCCCACTGCCAGTCTTGAGGTCATTGACCTACTGCGCCGCTGCCCGCGCACGTGGCGCCGCTGCCCGCGCACGTGGCGGCGCTGGCCGTCGACGTGGCGCGCCTGTCGCCCGACAACCCAATCGCTGATGACGCGCCGCAGGTAACGAGCGGTCGTTATGTCACTTGAGAAGACCACGCAATGCTTTTCAATTGTTTTCACTCCACTAAAGCTAGCTTTAAACTGCGCCGGCGCCGCTGGCCGTCGACGTGGCGCGCCTGTCGCCCGACAACCACATTGCTGATGACGCGCCACAGGTAACTATACTAATAGTTAGTCCCTTTGACACCAGCACACAAATCTCCCCAAGTGAGCACGTCCCGGTATATGGCAACTTTAACAATTTAAACCATCATCTATCAGTCTAACTAAGCTAAGCCAACTTCACTCCTCGGCCAACCTCATCGAGGATGACACGCCGCAGGAAACTGTTACATATTGACACGAATTGGGTATGAAAATGGCACTTCCCAAAGGACTCGACAAAGCACGATCTTCCGCTGTCTTCATCCAATAACTGCTTTTTCTTGTAGTCGACAGTCTATAGAATTAGGCGTCCTACCTCCCCAGACAAATTACCATTCGTGACAATTTTAATTTGGCAATCACTTCACCAAGCAACTACATACAAAAAACCGGAATTAAACGTTTGTTACTTTGCAGCCTGAATTACTTCAGAGCCTGTAACCATCTTCTAACTCACTTTCTCTCCCAGGCGGCCGAAGGAGGCGGCGAGGCATCTGAAGCCGAGAACGCGCCGCGTGGCGAAAGACTCGACAAACAGCTCGGCGCGCGACTCGACAATGCACTGCGGTTAGCCGGCGACGCCACCGCGCCCGGGCCCGAGGCCCATGCTGACGCAGTCAACTTGCTCACCACAGGTGGGAATAATAATAATAAATAAATATGGATAGGATCCACGTTGCTGTGATAAAATGTTATCGATGATTTTAGACGTGAAAATGTATTTTATTTTTTGCATATTGAATTCGCTGAGAAATTAACACTAGAGAAGTTGCAAAATTCCTATGATGTTGTATAGATTTAGCGCTTAACTCAGCTTGAGATATGGGAGAGGCACAGGAGGGATAACATTGACATATTATGACGTGACTGAGCATATAAATCTAAAGGAAATCTGAAGTCTCGCTGACGTTTGACCCGTGCCGCTCCCATATCTCAGGCATTGACTGAGTTAAGAGCTTGAAATTGAATCTTGGGTACAGCATTTTGCAATGTTTCTTATCACTCCATCCGATGTGTTCCGTGCGTGACATCTCTACTTATTCTAGTGCTACGCGGCTGCACGGGCGTGACGGTCCGCGGCGTGAACGGCAGCGTGCACCCGCAACAGGCTCTAGTGGGCGTGGCCTGCGCCGCCGCCGCCAAGGGCTCGCCGCAGCCGCACGACGAGCTGCCGCGCGCCGCCACCGGCTTCCTGGCCAGCCTGGCGCTCGCCTACCACGACCCGCGAGCCGTGGACGCCGCGCTGGAGCACCTAGCTCGCCTCGCGCAAGGTACCTCGCTCGCTAGCCTGCACGCCGCCGCCAAGGGCTCGCCGCAGCCGCACGACGAGCTGCCGCGCGCCGCCACCGGCTTCCTGGCCAGCCTGGCGCTCGCCTACCACGACCCGCGAGCCGTGGACGCCGCGCTGGAGCACCTAGCTCGCCTCGCGCAAGGTAGCTCCCTCGCTAGCCTGCACGCCGCCGCCGAGGGCCCGCCGGAATCACTGAGACTGTGGTGCTTTGTATAAACTTAAGCGTCACTCCTATCCGGCACCGCTCATGCTGATTAATCGTCGAAGTAATTGGTATCTTGCACCTATTGACGTGTACACCGAATTTAAATAGCGTTCGTTATGATAACAATCTGAATAGAAAAAGTCCGTTCCTTATAGTTCTTGCAACTCAAGAAGACGAGTGAGCTCTACTTGTGTGTGTACGTGTACATGCACATAGCGATAGTGTAATGTCTATCAAAACTTGAAAAACGAACAGCAGCGAGCCACCACACATGTAAAGCTCACTCGCCTTCGTGAATTGCAACAACTATAATATATGTCACTTATCCAATAGTGCCGAAGCTCACGATCGTTTCACGCAGGTCGCTCGTGGTGGGCGCGGCTGGCGAGCGTGGAGTTCGCGCAGCCGCTGCTGTTCTACGCGCTGCCGTTACTGTGCGCGCGGCCCGAGCGCGCCGTGCTGGCTGAGGAGTTCACGCTGCGACTCATGAGGGATCCACGCCTCGAGGTATGTGTTTTAGATAGAGCATTTAGTTATTGACCAATTCGCAGGGACTTCGAAGCAGTCAGTGACCAAACGACGTCCTGCTGACTGTTGTATTACATTTATTTGTTCACAGTGTATTCGTATGTAAAGCCCGGTCGCTGAGCAGATAGAATTTCGTTCAATGACCCCAAGCTACCCATCCTTATCGCTCGCGCGTAATTATATTACTGTTGCGCTCGCACAATCACTGCGGCCGCCCGTCGCACAGTCGCGACCGCAATATACGCGCGAGCGATAAGGATGGGTAGCTTGGGGTCATTGGACGAAATTGGACGTCACTTACCATCAGGTGATCCGTCTGCTCGTTTGCCTCCTGTGATCCTGTCACATAAAAAAAAATATTCTACGTGCTCGGCGACCGGACTTTAGCATGAAACATGACGGCGATTTCGGTATTTCCAGTCGTCTATTTATTTCTAATACTCATGCAGACATCGCACTCGAGAAAACGGACAGTGTTAGTTGATTTTTAAGTGTTGTCATAATTTCTTTTTGTTTTGACGAAATGCCAGAACGCCTTCGGATATTTTCTAAATTATACTGCACCATATCTCTATGTCGATAATGAGCAAGCTCCACTGCCTTCTTCACCCTCGGTCTACACCGCGAGAACTCTTCATAATCACCAATGAGGGTTTTCGCGTATGAAAGATCCGCTAGATGGCGGGACGTGGATGTGGGGTCTGACTGCTGCGTGATTGGTGGATTTTGACATATCTGTCAATGTCATGTCAAAAAAAACCAATCATGCAGCATTTGGACCTCGCGTCTACGTATTGCCGTCTGGCGGATTTTTCATTCGCGAAAACCCTCATTGATCCACTCTTTTTAATCACCAGGTGCGTCAAGTGGCAGCGAAGCTCCTGACCGGGCTCATGCACTGCCGCGCGCTGCCCGACGAGGGCNTCACCTAGATTGCGGGCGTTGCGGGTCCAATGACAGTTTAACTTTCCCCCGGGACAGACTTGACCTTCACTGGTTGGGTTTTTATTGGCGGTCAAGCTGTAGATTAGAGATGAAACGGATAGTTGTTTGGCCGGATACCGGATATCCGGCCAGCTGCTAGGCCGGATAGCCGGATATCCGGCGGCCGGATAGTTGGCCAATTGTCTCGTTGCATGTAGTGACGAGTTAAGGTGCTTCGAATGCGATAGTAGGTCTATTAGTAGACTAGACTAGTCAACTTTCGAAAATCGAATCAGTCCGAATAAGGGTTCGGACAATATTTTCATTGAATAATGTTTGCGACAAAGGTTGTCAAATTGACTGACATGTTTATCGTATAGTACAGTCCACTATGAAAATTAGCTGTAGTCTGTTTCAACTACCTATTTTAAAGTTTTTTGTCACTTTCTAAGTTTTGAATTTTATGGAATTGGGAAAGAAGTACCGAGTTTGAAGCGTTCATGAGCAGACATTGCAGTTGAATATTCAAGTTCTGAATTTGATTATTGATGAATAATAAAATAAATCCTACTAGCTCCATTGATGGTTTCATTTAATTTATTTAAACCAGGTTACCTTTAATAATATTTTTCGTTAATTTATGAAAATATCAAATTAGCCCGTAATCCTGAATCCTGATACATAAATTTAGCTTATTAATTTAACACATGTACGACTGTACTCAGTGTTGCACTATCAAATGCAATTGAAGCGCCTCTATGCCAGGGTTTTTATGTTCCTGGTCAGGCTATAGTACCTATTTTACTTTGTCGTTAAATATTTACGATTTGTAAGTACAATTTAATAGTCTATTTTATACAAATACAGTTTTTTTTATGATTTAGTTGTACGGTCGCGATCGTCGAAAATATTATGCCTATATTAACTCCAATTTAACAGTACAAAGTCGAAAATTAAATGTATAGCTGTTACGTCAATAAACCCACCCAACATTCGCTGATTCACGCCTTGTGTAGTAAAGGCTGGGACGTAATGCGCGAGCGCATTCGAGTTAAGGTCAATGATTTACAATAGTTATCGCTAGCGACCGTTTGAATGTTAACAACTAAACTTGGTTTATTTCCATCAGGAAGACTTGCAGATTTACCGCGATTAGGCTGTACAAATGCGTTACAACCTCTAATATTCATATTTTTTATCATATTGTAATGGTCGATTTTGATTGTGTAGTGTCTAGACACGCGGTAGCGTAACAGAACTGGCAAGCAGCACCGATTAGTATGTTCACAATCATATAGGTTTATAGGTATAGATAGAGAAACAGCACAGTTCATAATATACACTGGACCGCAAAGAAAAAGGGTCTGTTAGAATATCTTCTATCTTTAAAAGTACCTGACCTAACTTTATAAAACAAACATACATACTGGATTTTTTTTATTTAAAAACTTGAATTAATTAGTCTTTATTTAATAAAGCTAGGTCGGGTACTTTTGAAGAGTTTGAAGATTTTTTAACCGACCATTTTTCTTAGCAGTCCAGTCATACAAACCAAATGAGAATCTCCTTCATTTTAGTCTGTTCAACATAATATGTGCATGCAAACTGTTCAAAGTGCGTATCACTGATTGCAAAGGCCAAGCATGCAGCGAGGAAATGTAGCGATTATTTACCTAATATTTTACCCATCTACAGTGATATTACCTAGGTAAGTAGGTACTCAAATTCGAGGAACGTTCTCTGAACTTTGACTGTTATTGGTATGTTAAAATTATCATTTTGATTTATTAACACCAGACTAAATTACCTATATCTTGCGCTATTTGATAATGTCTAGACTAATATTGACAGTGACGTCACAGCAAAATAAACACTGTGGCATCTTATTAACCGACTTCAAAATGGAGGAGGTTTTCATTCGGTTTGTATGTGTTTTAATGTATTTTTTAAGTACTTTGTATTTCGGAATAAAAAGTTCCGTTTAAAGTGTTCCGTTGTTGCTGTTGAATGTACATTAACGGCATTAGATCTAATACAATCAATGATAAAATTATTTTCAAAAATACACGTTTAAAAAGTAATCATTCAACCTTGTGATTACGTCCATAATATGAAAATCGTTAGTATTTATTCATTGAAATGTAATCAGAATTAATCCAGTACGATAACAATTTATCGGCTTACAAATTTTTATTTTTATTAATTTATTAAAAAACTACTATGAATTTACTTTTTAATAGCGATTTAATTATTATAAAAAGTTATTCGCTTGATCATAAATAAAATAGCAATAAATAGTTAATTTATGATTCCAGCTCCAGTATTATTTGTTATTCACTTTTAAAACTGCATATCCCCTTTCCTATAATATTGTCATCAATTACCTATGACTATTGTTGACTTATAATCGATTAACTTAACATCGAACGATAAGGAAGCTCTTAGGTTACTAGATATCGTTAACTATTGGCAAAGTGACATCATCTGATTGTTTTTCTTTCAGAGGAAGCAAGGAATTCTATTCTATGCCACCTCGGTTGACCTGCGTCTTGCAAAAACAAAATTGACAACGAGAAAGAAAGACTAGGCATTTTAAATAAACATTTCACAAGTTTTCAGATGGTTTTTATGGTAAGATAATACTGCTTGTGAAGTAAAATGCAAAAATCTATTAGAGCTGCTGCGCTTAACTGAGTGGGAGCGGCACGGGAGGATTTTATTTTATACTAATATTATAAATGCGAAAGTTTGGATGTCATGATGTCTGGATGTTTGGATGTCTGGATGTTTGTTACTCTTTCACGCAAAAATTACTGAACGGATTTTGTTGAAACTTTACAGTATTACTGTTTATAACCCAGATTAACATATAGACTATAATTGATGACGATCTATGACATTCTAAATTTCATGCGGGTGAAACCGCGGGCAAAAGCTAGTTTTATTATAATATGTCAAATTATGTCGACTTCAGCCCCCCTAGACAAAACGCACTTTTTGATCGAATCGAAAATCGAATCCGTCAAAACTCCATACAAAAAGGGGCTTTTCGACCACTTATCGACTGGTTTGCGATTATAATTTGCACTTTGTCTAGACCCACTGATTTATATGCTCTGTCACGTCATAAATGTCAAAATCACCCCTCTTATACCTCAGGCACTGAGAGCCTAGTGTGAGTTTACATCAAACGCGCTCACTAGTGAGCACGTCAAAAAATGACATTAAATGTATGACGGATTGTACAGCGCCCCTAGCGGAAACGTTCAAGAACTAAAAGTTTTCATAGATTTTTTTAACGCGCTCACAAACTCACGCTCAGCCCACTGGTTAGATCTAATTGTATATGCGTAAACGGTGTGTTTGCATAAATAAAATATTTGTATTTGTATCTATTACGAGATACAGTTGCTATGCATCATTTTACATTGTTGTAGGAAAATAGCACTTATTTACAATACTTTTTAATGAAAATATATTGGTGTTTCGTGTAGCGTGTATTTATTTATTGTAATTAGTTGGTTTAATGGCGGTTTAATTACTTGTTGTGACTTTTATGTCACCAATGATACATTTTTAATTTGTTGGTAAAAGTTAAGTATAGTAATAGAATAGAGTAATTAAATACGTAGGTACATTTGTACCTGTGATAGTACATTAATTGATTTAATATATCATCGCAAGTATTAGTACGTAAGTTTGGCGACCGTGACGTCACATCGAAGTTCTGACACGGGGAGAATTGTGTGAAACGGGGAGAAAAGTGCGGGTAAAAGGCAGGGACAGTCGCATTCTAGCGAGGTGCGCAATTAGCTCGATCGGTTTGTAGTCAAATTATTAAAGCCGAGTTGCACCATCGTACTTTAACTTTAACAAATGTCAACTCTGTCAAACTCCATATAAAACACACCGATTAATGTTACGGTTAAAATAAAGTGGTGCAACTCGGCCTAAAGCCTTGATCACACCTGCCGAGTGGACGGGCGAGACAGTGCTCTCGGCCGAGTACTCGGTGTGTATGAACATTACGCCGAGTGCTCGGCGGAGCGCTCGATTATGTGACTCGCTCACCCAACTGTCTCGACCGAGTAAACATTTTACTGTCTCGCCCGTTTACTCGGTACGTGTGATCAAGGCTTGAGTGTCTACTTACAGAGGGTCCCAGATTGGTGGTCAGCCTGTACAAATATATGCTGATGTCCAGGATCGGTTTGCTGATATTGCTGTACAGGTCGATGACGGTCTCGCAGAACTTGTCGATGTCAGTCGTCAGCACTTGGTCAGCGTTGGATATCCGGTTGTCCAGGTTCGTCACTTGGTAGTAAGTGAAACCTCTGAAATATACAGTTTGTTAATATTTTTCATTTATTTTTTACTATGGCTGAGTTGCACCACAAAATGTCAAATTCCGTACAAAAAGTTGGTTATTGTTATGGTTAAAATAAGATAGTGTAACTCAGCCTATGTCTCCTAATGTCAAATGGAGGTAGATTGATCGCGAATAATCCTAATTAACGATTGTCGTTCGGCGCTACTCTAGTCGTAACTTACTATCCTCGGGTTACCTTANGCGTGGCGTTGCATAGCGACCAGAAACTCATCGTGGCGAGTACAGAGCGAGCCGGGGTTCAAAAAGCCTACCAAAAGATTTTTATTTTTCACAAATTGTACGACAAAAGTATGTGATATTTGTACGTACTTACAATTACCCAAATATTGTCTCAGCAAAGTAATATGGCGTAGGTTTAATTTATCAGGTTTTTGTTTAGTTAAGTTTCTCTTAAGGTTGAATTTGCCATGAGAGATATGTGGTAAACATACGAGTTCTTGTGGTCTAAGTACGCAGTATAGAGTCGTGAAACGTGGTAATAATAATGTATAGAAAATTACAAAATCTACTTGAATAAATATATTATAAATAATAAATATTGCATCTATTAATGAGATCAAATACTCAATTGCACAAAATGCACCAAATCTTATATGCATGAATATAATATGAAGAATCAAATAAAATTTCTTAATCTTCGTCACACATAACAAACAAAATGAAAACATAAATATCTTATTATATGTTAAATAACAATTAGACACATAGCCAAAAGATAAACAAATTGTGTTAAAATATTCACACCACACGTAACAAGAGTTTAAATAAGTTTTTAAGTTAACGTTAACAGTATAAAAGTAGCTTATTAAAAAACTAAGGTTTAGTAGTACCAATACGAACTGTATTGACATCAAAAACCTTTACTATGTCCGCGTCCGAGCGTATGCGATAACTTGGTGTACCTTGTTCCCTTCGCGCAAAGATGCGCCCGTCACGGGTCCATACATACTTCCAATTCTGTCGTTTTGCCTCTTCTCGTGTTTTATGAAAGAGCTGTCGATAAAATCTTGTCAGATGTTCGTTCACATAATAGGGGCGAGGAGAGCCCGGTAGAGACATGCCCTCCGTGGTGAGGCCGCGGCGCACCCGGGCGGCCCGCAGCAGCGCGTCGCGCAGGGCCCGGCGCGCCAGGCGCGCGACGAGCGGGCGCGGGCGCGGCGCGGCGCCCTCCACCGGCGCGCGCACGGGGCCTGCTCGCTCTGTGCTCACGACATCTCTTTCGTCCAGTACCTCTAGTAGGAAAAACTTTCGAGTTCGTTTCGTTGCGTATTCAAAGTGTCATCGAAAAATTTTGTATGAAAAATTAAACAGCGCCCCCTATATTATAGCCGCCCTAGGGGGCGCTGTTTAATTTTTCATACAAAATTTTTCGATGACACTTTGAATACGCAACGAAACGAACTCGAAAGTTTTTCGTACTAGAGGTACTGATCTACACCGAGTTTCTTGGCTACAGTGAGAAGGATGTGTGTGGTATTTTCATTCGACGTTTCCGGTAAATTAGTGATTTCGATATCGTTCAATAAAGATACTTGGTCACGTTCCCGAATTTCGGATTTCAGCTGAGAAATAGTTTCTTCCAATGCCGTGACTTGTTCTAGCTTCGAATCAGACATTTTAGCTTCGATACTATCGATTCTGGACTCTAAGTTGTCTAATCGCTTACTCTGTGCTTTTATTGTCGAAGTGAGTTCTGACATAGTTTCTCGAAAGCTAGTTATTTCCAATCGTAACGCTCGCATTTCATTTAGGTACAACTTTACTTCGGAAGTTGTGTCGACGTACTCCGCATTTTCAGTGGGAATAGTGGGCAGTCTTTTTCGTTGTGTCACAAAATCGCGCTCATCGCTTATAGAGACGTCGAGAGGGGAATTTGTAAGTTCACCATCATTTTGGGCCATCGATCTTACAGGAGTGTTAAGATTACTTGTCTTATGTTCTTTGTTTAATGAACAGTCTGAACATTTCCACGTACTTTTGCGCTTACTATTATCTGCCGCATAAAACGATTTATATCGCCAGGGCCGGATCGTGAATTTGTGGGGCCCTGGGCTGAAACTACTTGGGGGCCTATCTTAGTACTCAACTAATAGCCATGCCAAAAAACTGTTTCTATAATGATATAATATTATTCTTATACATACAGTGTGAGTCACGATAAAGTGCACATTAGGGCATGTAATATCGGAAGGTTTTCAATTCCGATATTGGATTCCGATATTAGATCTCAATATCGGAATTCCGATATTAATATCGGAATTGAGTTCATGTGCTATAAAATTAATATTTGGTTATATTCGTAAGAATTCTGGATTGTTTACAATAAAAGAATGATTTAATCGAAATCTTTAATTTGGTACAAACCAGCACTTCATAAAATTGAAGTATTTTAAAACCATTTTTACGTTATGGGTATCCATTGCATTTGTTTTTTTATGTGACGAGGCAAACGAGCAGACGGATCACCTGATAATGAATGGTTACTGATAATGAGCCTATATGGACTAGCAAATAATTAGTGTTTTTGTAAAATCACAAGTATCAAACAAACTTTTACTCCTTCATTATATTACCCTGTTTTATGTTGGCGGAACGAATTTTAGAATCATTCAAATCACGTGTTACAAAAATTGTAGAGAGTGGTAAAAATCTTAAATGCTTGTAATTTGTTCCTTTGATTATCGATGTACAACTCACAAAACCACTAGCCAGCCATATGTCAGCCATAGGACGTCCACTGCTGAACACAGGCTCCGATGCTTATTTTCACAATGGCCGGTTGGTGGCGGCCTGTATCCAGCGCCTTCCTGCTACCTTTATGAGGTCGTCGGTCCACCTTGTGGTTATGAGTCCTACGCTGCGCTTTCCGGTACGTGGCCTCCACTTCAGAACCTTGCTGCCTCATCGTCCGTCTGTTTTGCGTACTAAGGTAGAACCGTTGGAAGACCTTATCACAATGCTCGAAGACCTTAATCGAGTTTTCCAACAGGTAGGCCTTCGGATGAATATGGGAAAAACGAAGCTTATGTCGAATGTCCATGTTGCTCCTTACCCAGTTTCGGTTAGGAGCTCGATTCTAGAGATTGTTGACAATGACGACAGCTAGGTATATAATTTAGATGCAATTTCGAGAAAGAGCTAAATCGTCGAATACGATGACGAAAGTCTTCAATTAGTGTGTGTTACCAGTGATGATACACGGCTCGAAAACGTGGCCTTTGAATATAGGGCACAACGTGCTATGGAGAGGGATAAGCTTGGTGTTTATTTACGAGATCTAATCAGAAATGAGGAGCTCCGTAAACTAAGGTCGCTGACATAGCCCGACGGATTAGCAAGCTGAAGTGGCAATGGGCAGGACACATAGTACGCAGAACTGACGGTCCATAGTCCAGTANACTGCACATTCACCGAGAGCCAGCGCCCTCTATCATTTAACTTTCCCCCGGGACAATCTTGACCTTCACTGGTTGGGTTTTTATTGGCGGTCAAGCTGTAGATCCTGGCTACACAGAAGTTGCAGCGGTGGGAACGAGAGGTGGGAATAGTCCCGTAAAGCCGTGACACAGTGACGATAACAGTGCCAACCCTACGCGTGTCAACAGATTGACTAGGTGACATAAATTGTGGTGAGCTTGCGCGTTAAAACAATTTATAATTAAACCGATCACCGATAGCGTGGACAATACAAGTGTGACTGATTCAATTATTGATTAAATGCAGTCAATATTTTATTGGTACTTCCCAATTACTTTCTACTTGGCATTGGAAGAACGATTTCAGTATTTAGTAGAGTGCTTGAACTGGACAGTTGATTATAATATTTTTGTCCTCATTTTACGCTTAAAAAAATTTTTTTTTCTTACAATGCAGTCCATATTATTGGTTTGTAACAATTACATCTCAGATACTATGTTAAGTTCAACTCACAGATTAAGTCTATTCCATGTGCTTGATCTCCTCATATTTTACAAAATTCTTCATAATCATCATTATTTCATCCACAGGAGGACCACTCTTGAATATAAGACTACTCCAATGCTTAAAATATTATAATTCATATAAAACATTATAGTCCATTTAAATATTATCGGTTCTCGGACGATTCTATAACACCTGAGTTTGCGGATTCAAATCCTGCTGGAATCATGGTAGTGCCTATTTAAAGATAAATACCTACTATATTTAGCTGGTGTAAATATACACATATTTACTCGTAAAGTACTAATAGTATATTTTAAGGACTCTACCAAAAATAAAAAGAGTTTGAATTTGAAAAATTTGTTGTTATCTGATGTTTAGTCACACTACAAGCTTAGTTTTGGACTAAAGTAATTGATGTGATATTAGAAAAATAAAAAAGTACGGCAAGTTCCGAATGTTTCGTCCACATGGCCGAACGTTCGGCCGGTCATTAGCCGTAACCTCGGTGTCGGGTTACTGATTTATAGCGGACTTAGAGCGTAAAGTGTTCGGGGGCGATACAATCGTTGTACCCTATTGGGACGGCTGAGACAGCTTGGTTTTCTGAGTATTGTTGGACAGTGTTTTTTTTGTTGTAGGTTTTTTTCTAGCAATTAGCGGATAAAAAAGTCACAGGTTATGGTTTTAAAACTAAATAGTTTCCCCTATTAAAAACGTGCACCGATTGGTCGTTTGCTATTATTTATTACATCATAATATCATAGGTAATCATAGTTACCACATGTGTGCCTACCATGAGTTTACGTTAGGTGTGCTCGCTAGCGACTGCGTAAAAAAATGACATTTAAATGTATGACATATTGTGCAGCGCCCCTAGCGGCTACTTTCAAGAAATAAAATCTTCATAGAATTTTTTGACGTATTCGCTAGCGAGCTCACCTAACGTAAACTCATGGTAGGCACAATGAACTCTCTTCTAAGCCTCGTCTTAAATTCAACTTTAATAAAATGCACACACATGTGTGTATTACAGAGGAAAGCTTCAAAACTTGATTCAATTTGAAACTTTTGAAAATACTGACCAAATCGAACTTTGAGCGTCGTTTTGTACGGACCTTAAGTTTGGTTAGAAGTAGGCCATTACAAGCTAAATTATTAGAAAAAAAAATCGTACTAGGGGCAGAATGAGCTTTATTAAATACCTCTAGAATCTGTAATACCCTTCTTCATTTTTCGTACGAAACGCTTTCTCGAAACCTCTCTAGAGGTAAGCTAGCCAATTCCTCTGTGGTTTAGGATTCCGGGTTTAGCTCGTTTCCACCTTCAGCCTGATCATCACTTACCATCAGGTGAGATACAGGCCAAGAGCTTCCTCGTTGTGGATAAAAATCCCATTGTTTTCCCAATAGTGCGTGCATTTCACTTGGCTAGATGCGTATCGCCTAAATAATGAAGTGTCAGTCCGTCCGGCGAGTCAATTATTTTGATACGCGCTTTGTCGATCGCGCCCTGCTTATTGGAGGCGATGGGTGGTATAGTAGCGACAGCAGAACAAATTATACTTTTTACGAACTGTAAAAACCTACCAATGCCCTAAATTATGTGTCATGAAGTCACATTTTCTGCCTACTCAATTAATTTACTAATAATTTATTTCTAGCCACTTGAAATCGTGATCCAACTGAATTTTCAGGGTTAGATTAAGTGATTCTGGTCTTGGAATTATTGGTTACTGGTGTCAACTACCCATTTTATTAATTGGTTCTTTGAAATTAACTGTTAATTTAAAAGAATGACAGTTTGTTAAAATTAAGATGTATCTTTCTCGACCAAAATTTTATCCGAGAATAACTGGTATAACTGGCACATTGACAGTTTCAGTATGGGAAATATGTCAAAACTGACGATTTACTATAATTATTTACTCTTGTTTGGTCGAATCCACCTCTGAAAGGGATCAACACCGTATCGTATTTCGCGAGCTGTCATCGCCCACCGCGTACTGTCAACCGCGAGGCGAGCGTTTACGTTACGGTGCGGAAAAGTGTGCATTCAGTATGGAGTTTCATAAAACGAATACTGAACTCGAGTTGATACGGTTACGATCCCTTTCCGGGTTGATAAATGTGCTACGTCCTTAAAGCTCTTATTTTTTATGCTGTCTCTACACTAGTAGAGGCGAAACAGTGTTAAATTATTGTTTTGATGTGTGGTGTGAGAATTTTATTGGCTCTCGGCCCTCGTACGTGTTGTCAGTGTATTGTTGTCAGATGTAATGTACGTTGGTTAACTAATGCGTTGTTAATTGTTTAACAGTCTATTGCGCAGGTGGGCCTTGGCCATGTTTGGAGTTACTTTCTTTGATATATTTGCCGTTTTTAGATTGGGAATACGAAAAGTTTTTGAGGATCTTATGTCTAGCCAAACAAAACTATGTAATTCAGAAAATTTCATACATACGGTTGGATCTCTCTCAAGTTGACCATTATGTACCTAATATTAAAATAAAATGTTCAGTGTATAAAAAATAGACAGTTTGCCATTAAAAAAAGTATTGTAACAATGAGCTGCAATCAGCAACACCTATCACCGAGCAACGCACGGTTGTCAATAGATGGCGCTGTTCGTAGTTAGCTCGCGGTATCATTTGATTTTTTCCTGTCCTTAAGTAGTCAGGGCTAACCACAAATCCCTTTCCCCTTGCAAAATGGTATAAATAACATTGGTATGCACGCAAGATTATTTTGTGTTTATATCTGATCCTTATCAAATAACGCTAGCTTTGGCGTAGCTAGGGTTTTTTTTTAGGCAGGGTAACTATCTACAAATATAAAACAAGTATTCTAAGGTAAAACCTGTAGCTATGCCAATGGACACCATTCATTTCACTTAAACCAAAATTACGTCAAAGTCCGGAGTTTTATAAAAAAAAAATATGCGGTATGATTATTTTTTATTTATTTATTTTTCCTATATTTGCATTATAGGTAGGTACCTACCTCAGCGTTTTGAATTTTTGCGTTGATTTAGAATTTCTCACAGTTTAGAGGCAATTAGATTTAAGAAGTGTTTGATATGAATTTCAACTTTAATATCTCTACGCGTTCATGTGAAAAAGGGTAGGTAGTAAGTTTATAATTATTAAAAAAATATTTTATGTCATGTAAGCAAAAATAATATTTTAAATTTTATATAACTTCAAATTTATCATTTTCGCAATTTTTCCTTTATCTGTACTATATAACGTTGCTTCGTGCCGAATTTCAAGATTCTGAGTTCACAGGAAGTACCTTGTAGGTTTTGATTCCCTAGCGTGTGACGGAAATTCGTCTAAGGTGTCGGTATAAACTGCTGTATCTTTTGATCGCGTTAACTTAGAAGTTTGATTTTTTTACTTCTTAAAGGGACAATAGATCTAGGTATTTGGTATAAATTTCAATTTGATACCTTTATTCGTTCGTGAGAAATAAGGTAGTAAGTTTCATTTTATTAAAATATTTTTATTATATTATATAACTAAAAAAATGTAATTTTCGCAATTTTTCCTATATTTGCATTATATGACAATGCTTTATGCCAAATTTCAAGATTCTGAGTTTACGGGAAGTATCCTGTAGGTTTTGATTCCTTTGCGAGTGTCGAAAATTTGTTGAAAATATCGACATAATCGGCTGTATCTTTTGATTGGCTTGGCTTAGAAGTTTGATATTTTCACAGCTTAAAGGGACAATAGACCTGAGTATTTCATGTGAATTTCAGCTTGATACGTTCACGCGTTCTTGAGATAAAGGGTCTTGACAGAAGGACGGACGGACAACAAAGTGATCCTATAAGGGTTCCGTTTTTTCCTTTTGAGGTACGGAACCCTAAAAACACGTAAAAACGCTCTTCAAAAGCCTATATAATTGCAATAAAATTACCACTTTTATGAAGGAGTATTTCACTAAAAGACGCCTGAAGAGGGAGATAAGATAAATTTACACTTTGAGTGTTGGTACTATAATGATTTAAAAACTAAGAACAGAATAAAATCACGTACGATTACAATATTTAAAGTCAAATACCCATTAACATACCACAGTCAATCATACAGGTCTAAACAAACTAACTAATTCGGAAAAGTTATTATGTACATAAAAATACCTATTACGGGCCGATGGCGTGGATTCCGGCCTAAAGCGTGTAACCTAACACCAGTGTAGTGGATAGAGTCATTCATAGTGAGGATCTGATTCCCGTTTCGGCTTTTTTCTACTGGATTTTCGGCCGTAAAAGTGTGGACTGAGCAGTAGGCAAGAAAGATAAATCAAGTTATAATAGATCTACACAAATACCAAAAGAAAATTACTGAAAATAATAAGTTGCTTTCAAAAAGAGCGTGAATTTAAAAGAAAAGAACAATTAAGGGGTGGGTGTACTTTCGTAATATTGTTATTTATTTTCAACCGACNCACTTTTAGAACTCGAATACTACGATGCTGCACAGTCGTGCTACAGCTTTGGTGCCATAGTAACAAATGCTAAGGCGGACGTGTTCTATCAGAATACAGCACTTTTATTTTTTGGCCGGCACTTTTGATTTTGTATCAAAATGGATGATGTCCTTAAATTAGTTTACTTGCTGCGTCATCTGACTGAACTGCATCATGACATCAGACCATAAGTGAAAAAAAAGATCGCCTATTTTATCTGGCAATATTTCGACTTAACAGATATTTACTATTTATGTATTCGACATTAGAGTGAATAGTCCAGAAAAAGAAATTAGTGTTTTAAAGGCCTTATATGGCTTTATGTAACTTTTTGGACTTTAAATAAAAGCCGTCATTATTATAAGCCATTTTATTGATGTTACCTCAAAGATTAATGTATTTCATTTTATTAATAGGAAATTGTCGTAGTTTTTTAATATCCGGTATCCGGCCGGATAGTGAGTTAGGCCGGATATCCGGCCTACCGGATAGTTACCGGATATCCGTTTCATCTCTACTGTAGATCCTGGCTACACAGGAGTTGAAGCGATGGGAACGAGAGGTGTTAATAGTCCCGTTACCACCAAGATGTAAGATGCAATATTTGTTTATAAGGTAGCATAAGGTGTTTAGGAGCCCCTCACTATTTAGTGTTTAGAACAATCTCTTCTAGTCTCTACCTCTCAGCCAGCAGTAAAAATAGCATTACCTATAGCTGCAACTATTACGTATTTTAGATGTAACATTAAAAAAAGGCACCAGGCAAAGGCACCTTGTGTTGCCACCTTATTTTAAACCTATTTACCTAGATTTAAAGTTAAAACAATGACAAAAGAACTTCCTGTGCAGTGTGCGTCAAAGGCATTATTTTTGTCATTTTCTAAAATAATAAAAATACAAAGTTCATTTTAAGTGCAATAGCATTTGTTGGTTGTAAACCTGAATATCGTTTTACATTTACATTCATACGGTACAAGGTACGGTACACCGTACCGTATTATAAACGTAAACTTATTAACTTTCCTTCAGTATGAGTAACATTAAACAATGCAAGTACCCAAGTTCAAACACTTTTAACCATTGCAGTTTGAAACAAAGATAAATGTTACCATTCGATAAAACTCGGTTCGGAAAATGACGAAGAGGAAAAAATATTTAGAAATATATTTTTTTCACAATAAGTTGCATTATTGATTGCTACATCCTTGTTCGTCACAAAAATAACAATGGTATTAAGAATAATAAACAGTCAAAAGGGACGCGAAAGGTGATTGACTTAATTTGTAGTTTTTGCTCAATTTTAAAAGGTTAACAATGTGAATAAAGTAATATTTTCTGAATCATCCAATAATAAATTTTAAAAAACGAAAAGAACAATATTTTAATAGAAATGACAAAAGATCTTTTTTGATCCTTATTTTACTCTTCACACAATGGATCACATTAAATTGTGAGTGTCATTTGGGCTAAGGCCCTGTGGGTCGTTCCGCGATAAATGTCAAATAAACGAATACAACTTTACAAATCAGACATTTGCTATGCAAATGATAAAACCTGATATCAATGAGTCAGTCAGTGTTAACATCGTATAATGTTCTTATCTTTCGCCACCGTGTGGTTCCGATGGAGTAGATTAGGATAAGTAAGAATAAGAATAAGAAAAACTTTATTTGACACAAAAAAGGAAAAAAATAAAAACAGAACAAAGGGACTTAAAACTATACACGCATATTTTTGTGCCAAAAAGGCGCCCGCTCAGCATTAATCGAGCTATTATTATTAAGTAGACATTATTATGCGAATATCAGGCCTCCCCTACCCGTCTGGCCAGCGTGGGGAGTTTAGGCCAAATCCCACTACCCGATCGACTAACTGCGCAACTCCCCGCGTTCGCACCGTTCGCGTCCGTACCAGAGCGTCGATGTGACGTCACAGCTGTCAGGTGCGCAGTTATAGTTCCAAAATACTGGACTGTCCTGTCGATGACATTGACAGTGGGGCGCCACCGTCAATACCGGATCGCTGGTTCAGATTTTTGCCATGTTGGAAACCATATAGTTGAACGATGGTAGCGCCCCCCTGTCATTGAGTTTGGCGGGACAGTTCAGCGTGGGTCATCTATAACTCGATCGGGTTGAACATTTGCGTCTGGTAACCAGAAAGGGTCGTGCTCCTGCAATGGAACTAAATACCTGATAATGTTAATGATGTTATAATCACACTTACTTGAGGTAATTTTGATATAAGTGCAGCGTCAGATTTGTACGTATTCGCAGTTTCACTTCCCCTATGCTCCATTTCAGAACGTTGTTTACTAATGAAATCTGAAAAATAATTTTAATATTAGACAGCCGTTTTTAGTGAAATTACTCATTAACTATAAGCTAGCGATCGTGGGTTTGATTCCCAGAAGGATAGATAAAGATAAACTCCACTTATTCGAAGTATTGCATAAGATAAGTAATCGATATCTAAAGTCTCCAGTCCAGCGCGTGTTTTGTCCTACACATGCAGACCCGGTTTATTTTATGATTGCCAAAACAGTAAGCAGCGTGGTTTTTAGACTCATAGCTTTTAACTTTTTTTATCACTGACCGAAGGCCAATAAAACGTAAAAGATACTCTTATAGGAAAAATAAACAACGATAATGTTATATTTAATTTTGCCTTGACAGTAATTTTCCATTGAACAATCGAAGCAAAATAATTGTAAGCGGCAATTATGAAAATGTCAGTTAGTATTATTTTCGATCGAAAAGATATTGATACGATAAACCCTGTAGGCCTAGGATGCGCGCCACGATAAGATATTATCGCGCCATTTTATCGATTTTTCGCGATAGGCGATATTACATTTATCATCCAAAATCATCGATAAGTTATCACGGCGCGCATCTTAGCCCGGCTGAACACTATTAAATAGATTAAGAATTAAATACTGGTATTTTTTACTATTATTTTTACTAAGGCTGGGTTGCATGCACCATCTTACTTTATCAAACGTCAGAAATCTGTCAAATTCCATACAAAAACACCAGTGGGTCTAGACAAAGTGCAAATTATAATCGCAAACCAGTCGATAAGTGGTCGAAAAGCCCCTTTTTTGTATGGAGTTTTGACGGATTCGATTTTCGATTCGATCAAAAAGTGCGTTTTGCCTAGGGGGGCAGTTCTCGTCATAGTTACGGCCAAAGTAGGAGGTGCAGCTCAGCCTATGCATTGCATTTGTGGATTGAAAGGTTTTTGGATTGCCTAATTTTAATTTTAAGAATATTAATTCTCGTTAACCCCTCGTGGTAAGCTAAATATGCTTGTTACGAGTGTTCACCACAATAGTCGAGAGGCGGCGGGGATCGAACCCGCGTTCCTCGGATCGAGATCGCGAGTCGGCCAGTCCGACACCTTCACCAGAGTAAATACAAATGAGTAGGTCATCTTCATAGAAACGCACCGAGCGCGGTTTGTATGTGAGCGCGCCAATACATATGCGGCGCGCACGCACACACTGACAAAATTCGCACTGACGTATTGGCGCGCTTACATACAAATCGCGGTCGGTGCGTTTCTATGAAGATGACCTACTCATGTATAATTACTCTGCCTTCACCGTTTGGCTATTGTCAATCGTCGCTTCAAATTACATAATTTGATTGATTTGATAATCTACGTAACGTAAAAATGTAAAATATCAACAGCACTAGCCATTAGCGTGGTAGTGGATAAACATTTGTTTATCTCATAAGTATTGAAATGTATGACTAGGTAGAGCTTAGGACATGCTCATTTGAAATTATTGGTAATCAATGCGATAATAGTGGAATATTACGTTTCTCATTTAGGGTGGATTCGACCAAACAGGAGTAAATATTAATCTCAGAATAAATCGTCAGTTTTGATACATTTCCCACACTGAAACTGTCAATGTGCCAGTTATACCAGGAGTTATTCTCGGATAAAAATTTGGTCGAATCGGGCCTTAACCATGTAACTTCTGGATCGATTTGATGAAATGGGACGATCTTGATTTTTTCCACTGGGGCGTCAACTTCTTAACGCTATTTTCTTGTTTATTTAAATGTCATAAACTAAATTTCATCATCCTAACAGCACATCAACGTCAAATGGCTCTATTAAAGTTAAAACTGTAGTAAAATCTATTATAGACTTTAAGTTACAACATGCAAGGCCGTATATGCAGTGATTAAATAAATACTTAAAAATAGCCAAAAGGTCAGGCAAATAATATGCTGATGATACCGAAATAGACGTAATCACTATCAGAGAACAACTTCGAACTCCTCCTATGTTCTTCTGGTTAATTTCGTTGCGAGTCCAATGACAGTTTAACTTTCCCCCGGGACAAACTTGACCTTCACTGGTTGGGTTTTTATGGCGGTCAAGCTGTAGATCCTGGCTACACAGGAGTTGCAGTGGTGGGAGAGAGAGGTGGGAATAGTCCCGTATCAAAGAACAAGTATAGCATACATACCATTGGCATGGCAATGAAGAATTGAGTGAGGAGTTTCTTAAATTCTGGCAGGTCCATTGTGATAATTGATCTGGAATGGAAATACTTTTTTTAGAACCTGCTTAACCTTTTATGGTGCACAGCATGTAAATAAATATTTTCAACCTTATGATGAATGAATAAGGTACAAATTTTGGTGGCTACATATCATTATGTGGCCAATGCTCAATAGTCTTCCACTTTTTTTATTATTGAGCGAGTTTGCGATTGACCTCAATGACATCTGATGGTAAGTAATGAGGTCTACAATGGAGCACGATTTCTCAGTATGTAAATATTTAGGTACTGATAAAGTCCCTGATAACTAATGGAAATTTATCTGTCAGTTAAATTAAGACTTTCAAGTTTTAAAGGTCAGATCTAACTGGTAGGTAATCAGTAAATTGTTTTTGTTAGATAGAGCCATATAATAATATGTATAAATATCTAAAACATTCTCATCATCTATCTCTGTAATCACTGAGTCCTGTGGATGTTTTTTTATATTCAAAAAGTGGTTGCCGTTGCCGACAAATTTTGGGTTTTTTGGTATGTTTTTTGTACTAAAAAAGTCGTTTATGACAAAATATGTAAATAAGTACATATGTTTTAAAAAATATTCAATACTGTCACCATTATAAATTTTAACGGTAAGTAGTTAATTATAAAGTTTTGTATTAATTTAAAGACAATAGAGAGGTGAGGCAGGTGAGCATCTTGTGCTATAATAATATTTTATGTGTAATGTATACCTAAGATTTGTGTTCTTTGTTTTATTTGATTATTCAGAAAACCACAATTCTTTATAATATTATTACAAACAGGTAATACACAGGTTTTGTCTCATTGTAATGGTTCTAGCTTCTATTTTTTCAGTGGGTTTAACCCACATGTACAAGCAGCCATTTTAGTTATGTACAAAAGGTGCATAAGAGGCCACATTAATTAGCTTTATGTGCCTACATGATGTCAGAAAATGATTTTGAGTTTTTTATTCAGTAGGCAGTAGGTACATTACATACAATTTACAGCTCATCCATTATACTCGTACTTTATACTTTAAGAGTAGGCGCACCCCGTTGATTTTTAGTTGGCCGATGCTCAATTTTAATTTGTATGAAGAATCGGCCAAATCGAAACGGCGTAGTGTGCGCACTACCATACATGCCCATACTGATCAACTGCCCGACTAAACTATCGGCCGACGAAAAATCAACGGTGTGCGCCTACTCTAATATTGTAAAATAATAACTCATAGCTTCATAAGATTCAGTCAGTGAATTAAGCTTTAATAGGGCAGAGCAAGCCTACATTTTTCATTATTTTTAAAACTAGGAAATAAAGCTCAAAATATGGTGGTAAACATTTTCCCTCTGCTTTATTAAGGGTTAAAATGTACTTGCATAATATGTAATCCATGATTTACAACAAAATACCTACTATGTGCTGGTTTGGCTACCACTACTTTCTCTATAGGCATATCTCTGGCCTACATTTGGATATGACTAGGCTGAAGATTATCAATTAGATATCACATGTTGCCAAGGTTAATCCTTTATTAATCATAGATATTAAAATATTTAAAGTTGATTGGTATGAGATTTCTATATTTTTTATTTAACATTCAATTTTCATTTGCCTCTGTTGAGTCAATCAATATCAGGAAAGAAAACAGTGACTTGATTACCTAATTAAAGAATACAATCATACACTACATATAGTGTAAATATTATGAAACTGATGTTACCTATTATTTCAAGTTAATTAATGTATCTGGCATTATCTGCACCAATTTTTTTTACATACAGTACCTAATTAGTGTTATGCTGTAATAAAATATAAAATAAATGTATTAATTTAAAGTAGCAAATGTATAGCTATGTAAAAGACATACATGACAATGCACTAATCCATTTAAACTTTACATACAATAAAACTAAAAGTGACAGTATGTTTTGTTTGACTAATTTATTAATCAGATACTCGATTATGTAAGTTGCTTCATCATGGGGTTTGACTCATTTTCATAGATCATTTATTTGTGTATAAAGTTTGCAGGTGATAAAGGTGTTTTTATGTTGGGTCTGTAAATTTTAATTGAAAAAGTAGTAGTATAATTTGTGGAGTTTTATCCTTCCTTATTATTATTATCAGTAATGAGAATAATCTTATTTATAAAAGCATGTGCCATCAAGGCTATTTTAATTGCTTAAATATTATATGATTGATTAAACAATAACATTTAACAATTTAATTTTCATTGTGTATATTAATAGTTATTTGGTAACTCTAAGGCAGCATTCAGTTAATTTCCAATCATTTTCTTGTTAAATGCATTAAAATATTGTTGTACTCACCCCTCAATCAATGTGGTGTGCTGTATAAGCCAAAGGTCACACATTGACCTTGATATCAGTGAGAAAGCGATCAACACCATAAGACCACTCTCCTTTGACCACAGTCCAGGGAACATAATTCGCCATAGTTTCTTTAACTCAGCAAAGAATCTAGCATCAATTTGAGCTTTGGGACCCTTTTTGTTCTTCTCTTTTATCATGTACTGAATCTGCTCTTCTGGAGAGAGCCTGGTTGCTCGTTTAATATTTTTATTTTCGCTGAAAAGTATAAAATATCAGGTCGAATCCTAATCACTATTATTAACCACTAATACTTTCATGCAATATATTTGAAGCTTGAAAAGAAAGAAAAGTTAAACCATGACTTTGAACTGCTTTTAAATAATACTGTAAGATTAAAAAAATAGCTTGTAAAACGAATACCGCAGAAGTTAATCATAAACCTCATTAAATGGAACTTAATTATTATTTTTGTAGTAACACTGACATAAGTTTCATAAGCAAAACAGTTAGAAAACAAAGTTCGTGTGTACAAAACAGTGATTATAGGAAGTAGCCACAAAATAATTACCTTGCTTTTAAAGAATTCCTTATAATCCATGCGCCTATAGCTGCTGAGGCAGCCAGACCAATTTTTACATCTGTCCTTGAAGTAAACTTACTGAAGTTGGGAGCCATTGTATCAAATGTTTAAGTTACAATATAAACACAAGGCATTTGCATCAAAACTTAGGTAATCCTTCACTGTTAGGGTGATTGAACGTAATTTTATCTATTACACACCACCAAAACCACCTCGCCTTTGCACATCAACACAGCTGAACGTCAGAAATGACACTGATGGATGGAAGAAGATCGGGAATGACACTGACAGTCAGTCACCACGACGTAAAAGTAGTGTTGTTCGGACTTTAGTTATCGACTTAAATACTGTATACGATGCGATTAAACCAATCGATTATTACGAGAATAACAAACAAGAAACCTTGACTTTTTATTATTAATTTAATTAATTAAATGCGAACTTTAGTTTCACAGAGCAAGTTTAATGCAATTTTGATAGATCACGCACGTGTAATAAAATCAGTTTTATAAATTAGGGATTAAGCAGTAGTTCTGTAATATAGGTTTATTCCTAGCCCCTAGACCAGCGGTTCCCGAATGGTGGTCCGTGGAACCCTGGGGTTCCGTGGAAAGGCCGCAAGGGTTCCGTAAAAAATATTATCCCACGTTTCGTGACCGACGTTGTTCGCTCGCACCGACTTGTTTACGCACAAGGGAGGGGCAGGGCGTGCGGGCGGAGTAGTACGGGGGTTCCGCTAGGAAAAGTATAATCAATTAGGGTTCCTTGTCAAAAAAAATTGGGAAACCCTGCCCTAGACAAGTTGCATTTTTTGATCGATTGAAAATCGAAACAAAAAAAAGTCCTTTCGACCACTTTTCGACTAGTTTGCGATTATATTGAGCACTTTGTCTAGACTAGACCCACTGGTCCGACTATAAATCGTTGAGCAAATCCTATGAGCAAATAAAAGCTATAGCTTATTACTATGGATTATAATAAAACAAGATCAGGTTCGATTTTGTAACGATATAATACGATTTAATACGATGTGATTCAAATCCATTTTGTGCCCCCTCCCTTTACTTTCTATAATCTGTCAAAAAGTTTTGTCTGTGTCTGTGGTTTACTGGTTTTGTCTATGGACGTTTACTTGTTTGAAATCGTGTGAAATAATTATTGTACAAAGATGGATAAAGTTTTTTAGTTAACAGAATTTTTGGTGTGACATGTTTAACTACTAAATTACTCACCAATCAACTAAATTGCCTACTCGAATAGTGTGAACAAGACTGTAATGCAGTGATGCTGTGGTCTTTCAGGTGAGTTAAAACTTTTCAGTTTTCATTTAAACTGTTTATTGCTTGTTGCCTTAGATTAATAAAACTTGTTGCGAATAGGTACGTATTTTATTTGCTAATAATAATTACTAAATTGCTTGCACATCCGTAATTTAACCCTACATTTGCCAATTTTAAAATAGTGTTTGTCAGTTACTGACTGGATTCTACTGGATTACTTATATGTTTCTTGTTCTACTCTATTGTTGCTGGTAGCAGATAGCCGAATGGTGAAGGGGTCGGACTGGCTGACTCGACATCCGAAGAACACGGGTTCGAACCCCGCCAGTCGACTATTTGTGGTGAGCCCACTCGTAACAAAATTACGATGGGTTACCGGGACTATTAGTATTTTTTTCAATAAATTACTTACTGTGTTAATATTCGTAAAAAACTATGATTAACATCATAATTATAATTTATTTTTTAATTAAGTAATCATTAATCATAATGTCCAAGAATGTTTATTTATCTATTATGTTATGTGTGGCAGTAAGGTAGGAAGTAGAGTCAGAAATAAAAGAGGTTATTAATTTTTAAATAACTTAATTTAATGATTTTGTACTCATGATCATCTGTTTGGACTCAATTTGTTTGGCTACTTACAGCTAAAATAAATTACTCTTACACATTAATACATTATTTACAATTAATTATAGCTTAACCTAAAAGTTATTTACAATTTGTTTGATTAGCAACTAGTGATCATCTTTTTGAACTACTGAAAATTAATGGTGGATGATATCTTGAGATGAGATCACAGGGCTTTCTAGTTAGTGTGATAGTGAGGCTACTTCTTAATCTACTTCTTCAACTGTTGGCCCAGAGCTGGGTTGACCATACTGCTGGTGAGGTTGTGGTCCATTCTGTGGGCCCGCTCCTGCGCCATGCATCTTGCTCATCACTGGTGTACACACCCGCTGGATCTCTTTAAGTTTGTGTTCGTACTCTTCCTTCTCCGCGAGTGTGTTGTTGTCTATCCACTGCAACGCCTCCTCGCATTCTCGGCGAGCTGTCTCCTTGTCTTGCTCGCTCAACTTGTCGCCCGCTTCATCCAAAGCTTGCTTCACATTGAACACGTAGCCCTCCAGCTGATTTCGAGCAGAAACCCGCTCTCTCTGGCGATCGTCCTCCTCCTTGTACTTCTCCGCTTCGGATACCATGCGGTCGATCTCAGCCTGCGACAGGCGGCCTTTGTCATTCTTTATCACTATGTTCTTGCTGCGGCCAGTGCTGTTTTCTTTAGCGGACACGTTCAGGATACCGTTGGCGTCCAAGTCGAAGGTGACGTCGATCTTCGGCACGCCTCGAGGCGCAGGAGGAATACCGGTCAAGTCGAAGCGGCCCAGCAAATTGTTGTCTTTCGTCATAGCACGTTCTCCCTCGTATACTTGGATGGTCACAGCGGGCTGGTTATCCGAATATGTAGTGAACGTCTGTGACTGTTTGCAAGGGATCTTGGCGTTTCGCTCGATGATCTTCGTCATCACTCCTCCCGCTGTTTCTATGCCGAGGGACAGAGGCGCAACGTCCACCAGAAGTACATCTTGAATCTTGCTGTGTTGTTCGCCGCTGAGAATGGCTGCTTGTACTGCGGCACCGTATGCGACAGCTTCGTCTGGATTGATGGATAGATTCAACTTCTTGCCGCAGAAGAAGTTTGTAAGCATGCTCTGAATCTTTGGTATACGAGTTGATCCACCCACGAGTACAACGTCATGAATAGAGCTCTTGTCCAGCTTGGCATCCTTGAGAGCCTTCTCTACGGGTTCCAATGTTCCTCTGAACAGATCAGCGTTCAATTCTTCAAAGCGGGCACGTGAAACTCGTGTGTAGTAATCAATACCCTCATAGAGAGCATCGATCTCGATGCTGGCTTCAGTGCTGGAAGATAGAGTTCGCTTTGCCCTCTCCGCAGCAGTACGCAGTCGACGGAGAGCTCGTGGATTGGTGCTGATGTCTTTTTTGTACTTCCGTTTGAATTCTTCCACTAGGTGGTTGACTAATCTGTTGTCGAAGTCCTCCCCGCCAAGATGGGTATCTCCAGCAGTCGCCTTCACTTCAAACAATGAGCCCTCGTCGATGGTAAGAATGGAGACATCAAATGTACCACCACCCAAGTCGAAAATTAGAACGTTGCGTTCTCCCTTGAGGTTTTTGTCAAGGCCGTAGGCGAGGGCAGCAGCGGTCGGCTCGTTGATGATTCGTAACACGTTCAGCCCTGCGATGGCTCCGGCATCCTTCGTCGCTTGTCGCTGTGAGTCGTTAAAGTAGGCAGGCACTGTGATGACTGCATCTCTCACTGACGTACCCAGGTATGCCTCAGCAGTTTCCTTCATTTTGGTTAGTACCATGCTGCTGATTTCCTCCGGTGCAAATCTTTTTGCCTCTCCTTTGAATTCTACCTGGATTTTAGGTTTGCCACAGTCGCTAATGACTTTGAAGGGCCAGTGTTTCATGTCTTGTTGAATCTTCGGGTCATCAAACTTGCGGCCGATCAGTCGTTTTGCGTCGAACACTGTGTTGCTGGGGTTCAGAGCGACCTGGTTCTTCGCAGCATCGCCGATCAGTCGCTCCGTGTCCGTAAATGCAACGTATGATGGTGTAGTTCGGTTGCCTTGGTCGTTTGCGATGATTTCCACGTTCCCATGTTGCCAAACGCCGACACAGGAGTATGTAGTTCCAAGATCAATTCCTACAGCTGGCATTTTGGTCTTGATGTATATTTTAGCACTTCTTCACAATATATTTCTTGATAATTGCCTTGAAAGTTTGTTGGAGATTTCTCCGGTTCACTTCTTCTCGCTTTCTCGCTTGTTTGTATTTCAATACTGAATGCTTTGCCGCGCTTTCCGCCGGTATTTATACTCCCAGCCTGCCAGCCAATCACATTCGAGAATAATCTAGAAACGTCGACGTCCAGCCAATCAGAGCAATCTAGGGGTGGAACATTCTGGATCTGTATTATTCTCGGCCAATGAATGCGTGTGACAAGGATAGAAACATACAAAACGATAAGGATAGAACGATATTAAGCAGGTCACAAATAGACTTGGGTTGTCAGTTTCGAAATCTTACCCATAAAACTGGGTAATGGAGAGCTACAAAATATATTTTACCGTTTTAAAATAGTTTCAAAATGTTNAAAATGTTTACTTTAGCAAAAAAACATTGACAAATAAGTGAATACTTGATAACATTTCTTATTAACTGCCTTTTTACACAGCGCTTATTTTAGTAATTTGACCAAGTAACTTGATATTATTATAAATTATTTTATTGCCTGTTAACTCTTGCGAGGTTGCTAGTGTTTTACAAAATTACAAATAGGTAAAGTGCTGTTGTTCTCAAATTGTTTTATTTTATTACTAGCGACCCGCCCCTGCTTCGCACAGGTACACTGTACTTAAAAACCTTGCTCTTGAATCACTCTATCTATTAAAAAAAGCTCTACACAGGTTTGAATCACCTTGCAAATCTTGAAAACCTGGCAGAGTTGAACGATAGTGAAAATCATTCGTTATCATCATCTACAAAATAATTTCAGTTTTAGTCCAACCTAATCCAGATTGTGTCATTGACATGTTAAGAGATAATAACTTAATGCTGCTGATGTTTTTTTCCGAAATTTTGACTCTATCATAACACAAAAGCTTTTTTACTTTCTTAAAAACCATAAATACTTTGAAAATATCCAACTAAACTAAAACATTAGTTTCTACGCCTTAATTTGTAAAATGCCGCATTGCAGATGTACCCTGGGGAAAATTTCGCTAAAAGCTGGTATCACCAAATTATCGGTCTTCTGGAACATTCCTTTTTGTCCTTTTCATTCACGTGAATTTTGTATCTACCTATCCCCTTTACTCAACACCGCATCATATGGATCTTTCTAGAACGCCATTAATGCGGTATATTCCGTCCCTTTCACTCTTATAGCTTTGTCTCACGTTTAGAATGGAACATTCTAGAAGCGTTACGCCACCATGTGAAATTTCAGTCTGGTCCATTTAAACGAATGTTACTTCGAGACCATTTAAATTGGACGGATATGAAATTGAGCAACAGCCTATAAAAAGGCAAATCGCGCTGCTCGCCCCGAGATACCTTTTCCATTAGTCTAGTGGTGAGGTTCTGTATCCATTATGTAGTTATTTTTTGGTGTTAAGGGAGGTTTTATTCACAATGTAATTCAGTAAAGATAAAGTACTTAGGAGCAAAAATGTAGAGCACTAATTTATACTAAGAGGTGATAAGTCCCTTTAGAATAAAAATGGCAGAGTCATCGCCCGGTTGAGAACACAGTGCCAGATGTCCTAAAATTCGCAAAACCAACTGAAGAGTTCCTTTGAGGATAACGAGGTGGGTACCAATCCATATTTTATTTTTCGCTTAGATTGGGGAATTCATTAATATTAATTTAATCGCGATACTCCTTTGTTCGGTTTTCCAATTAGGATTTGCGTCTTACTTTGACCTTGACCTTCAATGAGTGGTAGAGTGTCGTTCGTTAAAGCTGATAAAACGTCGTTTAATTTATAATAGTATTAATTATTTTTGAGAGAGATTAATGATAAAGTAAAAAATATTTTCCAGGTTTAAGATTTGGTCGTTTAGAACAAGAATGAGGTAGATAATTAAGTATTTTGCACAATGGATCATATTTCGTCGTATTTTGAAACCTATAACGTGTGGTGACGTCATCACTTTGCTCTTATTGCGACGTTGCAATTCAGAGCTAAAATGGCTGCCGGTTAATAATGGCAATTTTTTTTTATGAAACATTTACATATTGGGAGATATTGAAAAATAATCTTCTTATTTTGAGACGGAAGCTTTATTTTATACAACATCGGTACGTAATGATTCACGGATGATATTTTAATGAAATAACTTGAACAATCTTATCGGAAATATTAATTAGGTATCAAATCGTTTCATTGTACTTAGTCACGTACAGAGTCGTTTCGTACTATCAGTGGTAGATAATAACCTATTTAAACAAAAGGTATACGGTTAATAATTTTAACAATATCATGAGGGGTTTTTATTTTGTATCAAAGATGTATAAAATTGGTGAAAAGGGAGTGTGTGACAAAACAAAACAAAAATATTCCGTGCTTTGTTTTAAGTTTCTGTATTTTTTATTTTCAGACTTTCCCAGACACCCTGGTAGATCTTGCAACTTGTATTTTCGCGGCAGGTAGCTTTTTGAGGCGGCTATATTTTAAGACTTACACCACAAACCACAATCCAACCGATCGTTGAGGCGGAATTATTGTTAAGTTTATACCACAATTATTCAAAAACCTGTTGTCTTAAATCCTTAAGTTGTAAGAGAAACAATAAAACATTGAGTTTTTGTGTCTTTAGTACACCCAAAGTAGGAAAGAAGGTTCAGAGGAACCTGTCGGGAGGCAATTACAACATTCGCAATGTGGCGTCTTTATTTATTTCCTTGTGTTGGTTTATCTCCTTGTTTTACTTCATGAGTTAGTGGAATATTAACAAACAGTCGATAATTAAAAGTAAGAAGTGATAAGAAATCACAAGGACAATAAGTCCATGTAAAGACAGTGGAAAATTAACAAACAGTCAATAATTAAAAGTAAGAAGTGATAAGAAATCACAAGAACAATAATGTCCATGTAGAGACGATCTTGAATAAGCATAAATATAAATATGGCAAGCACATATTATTCAAAACTTACTATTTTAATAAGAAAGAAAGGAACATCCTTCAAACATGCTCTAACTTATTTGAAGTTAAAGAGACCTTGATTTTGTTCGTTACAGAAAAAATAAAGGCAAAGCCTTTTTATTTAGGATAATGAAACATTTCGTAAACTAAGAAAAAAACAACCATACATTGTGTTGTAAATGTTGTAATAGGATTTATTTTTATTGAGACTATAATGATACATTTAAAATACCTACTTACGAAGTTTCGATGTAATTGAGAAAGCCATAATGGTAAACCCCAATTAGGCGTTCTTAGACAAAATATTGTAGCTATCTAAGCGCTATTTGAGATATTAATAACTATACAAGGCATAAGAGACCTTTTAGAATGTTTGAATAGAAATCATGCACCGTATTCTTATCAATTTATGAATGTAAATGTCATAAATTAATAAGGGACTAACTCCCTATAGTAAGATGAAAATATCTTCTTTCGAATATAAACTCCGAATTGGAAATATCTACAGACAAAAAACAATCTAATGAAAGCTATTGAAGCAGTCCTATTTTTTATAAACATTTATTGTTTTACTCCACGAAAGCAAAACATTTTCCAATTTATCTCAGGATTTATAAACCAGTAGATAGGTATTACATAATAGTATATTCTGAAGCCTGCTTAAAAAAACTGGAAAGATCTACCAGTATTGTATATCATAACTACGTATGTACCTAGTTATAGAGTACCATATCAATGAGGAGCATTTTTACAACAATGATTCACTAGGTGATGCTGATCATTGCACAATGTTAAGAAACGTGGCGTCATCGCGAAACAAGAAACGAAGGGCGGGCCGTGAACCTGACAACAGCAACCGAAAGTAAGAAATATCGAATCTACCAAGATCAAAAGAAAGTAAGAAAACTCATATTACTCCAAATATCTACTATACATATAACAAATCGGACTTTATATTGCACAGCAAACAACTGCGAAATACCTGTTTAGAGTCTGACAATAAAGCATATTTTTGCTACGACGTAGAACTATTATACTAAGCGGCTGAAAGGCCCATTTATGCTATTTTTTATACAATACATAGTAATTTTTTTAGAGTATTAGAAAATGTAGCGTCATCACCAAACAATAAACGAAAAGGAGGTGCCAAAATCAGGCGCCATCAACCGATTCAGCGGACACCTACGCGGAAAATCTATTTTACCACCCTAAAAATGTAAACGGTCATAAAAAAATTTATTGCCTTGATGGAAATTAGTACACTGAGGCTGCTTGTAAACATCCGTTTTTTTTACCGGACAACGGTCCGATTTTTTTACCGGATTTAGCGGTGGCGTATGGTTTATAATGAACGTGTAGGTACACATGCATCGGACATAAGTCCGGCAAGAAAATTGACAGCAAACAAAGGATATCCGTTTTTTGACGGTCCGTCGTCCGGTGAAAAACGGATGTCTACAAACGGCCTAAATGGTATTGCATACTTTGCATACCTACCTATTTCGAATTTTGGGACCAAATTTCTAAATATATTTTTACATTTATTAGTCGATCATTGCACAACAAAACGAAATGTAGAGTCATCACGAAACAATAACCGGAATGAGGTATATAACTACCAGGTAGAATTGACTGAAACAGTATGACTAATCTCATCGACCTCAGTTTTTCTTGTGCGAGCTGACCGAAAAATAAAGTAAAAACTACCTACTACTACTAGGTATTGCATTTCTGTTATTATGTAGTGTAGGTATAATTTTCTTGATGGTGCTTCTTCTGACATAAAAAATAAAACATTTAGAAGCAGCAAAAAAAATACAATAGTAGCATTGCATTTTTGCCAGTAGGTACATAATACACATTTCGTTTCGTTCGTGCTTCTGACAAAAAAAGTTTACTTAGATGCAGTTGAAGTATCATTGCTATTAAGCTAGGTATCTATTTACAACAATTCTTTTAGTTATTATTGCAAATTTTTAGATAGTTTAATTGTGAAATAAGGATAAGAATGAATTGAATCACATAGAAAAGAGCTATGTAACTCAATCAGCCTTCTTTTTTCAGCTCCTGACACAAAAGAATTAACCGAACCAAGTATGATATTTAATCTATCTCAGATTTAACTAACTGAACCAAGTATGATATTTAATCTATCTCAGTTTTAAGAATTAACCGAATCAAGTATTATATTTAATCTATTTCAGTTTTAAGAATTAACACAATCAAGTATGAAGATCTTAGTTTTTCTTGTTTGTGCTTCTGTAATCCAAAAAAAAAATGGTTAGATGCAGTCTAATAAGTAATGCATTTGTAAGGTACAAAATTGTAAGAAATTTTTTTCTTGCGCGTGCTTCGGACACTAAAAAAAAAGTTTAGATGTAGTTTAGGTATTAACATTGCTATTATAATAATGAATCACTATGACAGAGTTAATATATTCTAGCAGCCTTCTTGTTTGAGCTTCTGACACAAAAAAATCTACGTCCTGACACAAAAAGTCTGGTTATAGTCTACGTATCATTGCTTTTATTACCACACTACCTGTGGTTTATTATTGCACATTGTTGATGAAATTGTGAAATAAGGACCAGAATTAATTGAATCACTTATAAATGACCTAATGTAGTTGATCGGCCCTCTTGTTTGAGCTTTTGACAAAAAAAAAGATTAGAAAATTAGATGCAGAATTTTAAAGCTACTTATTTTATTCCAAGATTTTGCATATTACAATTTTTTGAAATTTTATATTTTTTTACTAATTATTTTAATTCAAAGTAGGCTTTATCATTGGCACATTTGACATGTGAAATTCAAGGATAGCCTAAAAATTTTGGCAAAAGCCTCCTCAGCTGCTGTCATTCCAGTCCCATCGAGTGCGCCTGCGCAGCCTCATCCATTTTGGTCCAGTCAGCCATCTTAACGTCATCTCAACGGACTAGTGGTCTACCCATCGTCCTGAACATCCATCATAGGAGGCTGCCATACTTTTACAGTATTAGCCCATCTATCTTCTCTCCTGGGACACTTACCACCCATCTGGCGAACACTTAAGTGGAATAATTTATATTTTTTCATAACTTAGATTATAATGTAGGTAAATAAGAACTTGATCAAGTACTTATTAATATACAAAGGGTTTAATTATTTTTTGCATAAAGAAGTGAAAATTACAAAGATGGTCTAGCTAGTGTCTATTGGCATTTTCTATTGCGTAATTGTATTGGCTATTGCACTTCATATAATATGTATTATGATGTTATTTAGGGCCGGATGTGGTTGAAAGATACTTTGTTTAATTTTTATTACTTAGAAAAAAACAATCCTGAAAAATCATTATATTACAGCGTTACGCCTCAATTTATTATTATCTACTGATGAAAATGTTCAGCTTTCGTATTAAAACATTTCAATTTAATTAATATTAAGCTTTCATAAAAATACTTACCGTTACTCGTACGTAATATACTTATCTATAACTATTCTAGCTACAATCTACCAAAACTATTTTACTACATACTTCAAATTGATGACGGCAAATAAACACAAGGTAGAGTTAGAGAAAGAGTTAAAACCTTTAATCTGGTTTGTAAACCATTAGTGGTGTGTGTATTTATTTTTTTAGTTATTAAAATTGAAAGATAAGGGGACCGTTTTATCCATT